TCCCCCAGGGGACTGGAACTGGGAACCCACTTGCAGTGAGGTGACCAAACACCACACAGCCATGCCATCCAGGTTAGATCCAGTAGAGTCAAATACAATTAGACAAAAGTTAAGAGTCATGTTTTATGAATTATGTAAGAATTATGTGCTGTCATGCTGCATGCTCACAAGACTAGAATTGTTGTATCCTGATCCAAACTAACTTGAAAGGGCTGTGGGCCACTTTGTAGGATGTCAAGAAGAGTGCTGCTCAAAAGAACCTTCTTCAAAATCATTATCATTGCCTGAACATCAGGAATATTGTCTGCACAGTGCAGCGGAACGGGGTTTAGACCCTGTCGGTATATTCAAATACGGCACTTTGTGACTCACGCAAACAAAATACTTGCTTTGCTGACTTGTATTATCAAGAAATAAGCCAAAAGAAGGCATTTTCACCAAACAAAATATGTTACGCATGCAGGCTCCTTTCAATTATCTTTTCTTACCTAAAACTATTGATTTAGATGTGACCTTTCTAAGCATGAAGTCAAGGCAAGCACAATTATCTTGACTTCCTTACCTACTGGTGTTGAGAAGAAACTATAAAAGGAAAATGGCACAGCTTTCTCTTCATTTCAGTCAAATGTGATGTATAGTGTGTATCTACTTGGCAACATAGCTAGTATAACACAATGCACTGAAAACTCTGAGACGCCTCTCCATCTGATCTAAATGTTTCAGTGTTTTCCTCTGAGACTTCGGGCCCTTCTCCCAATCTGAAAAACATGTATGTTAATCTATGATTCTAAATGACCCCTAGGAGTTGACGTGAGTGTGTGTGGCTGTTCGTTTCTGTGTGGCCCTGTGATGGACTGGCGACCCGTTCGGGGTGTAGCCCGCCTCTCGCCCAGCTCCAACCCCCTCGTGACCTCACTAGGAATAAGCAGTACAGACAATGGATGGATGGAAGTTTTCAGTGTGTAAAAAAAATGCGGCATAAAATATGTTTGACACAAAAGAAACTGTAACGTGAACTGTAATGTGAAGGTTGTGAAGCAGAGACAATGTGTAAGTGTGTGTGTCGGTGCGAAAGAAAAAAGTGACGGTGAACGCTCCGGATGGGAGTTTTGATGGTGATGGTGAGGAAGAGGGCTTTTGGCATGAAAGGGGGCTACTGTGTGATCATGATATCATTAGAAGTATACAGTGAGACAGACTGGAGGAGGCTGCTGTACCGTGCTGGACCCGGGGGACGTCATTACCAACTGGAACTGAGCAGGAACCTGAGTACAGGTCAGACACACAGGAAGTAGGCTAACACACACACACACACACACACAGAGCCAGTAGGCGCTTACCAGCACTGCTGTACAAACCGGCAGGCATCCATCACATAAGAAATGGACAGTGCTGTCTGGCATCTGACAGCCGACTCGTGCTTTTGTTGCTCAACCTGACAAAGTCTTCAATATCTAAGTGGACACTTCTGTAGACAAATGTACCTCATTAATGAGTGCACACAGATGGACAACGTACACACACACGCACACAGCTGAGGACTGAGAGCTCTCGCTGTGCTAAGTTGCGGTGCGGATACCAGTGTAGCCGTCTGCGCTTCATTACTGTTCACACACAGACAGTTGCAGTGTTTTTGTGTCAATGTTTAATGAGGGGCTGGGAGTCTGGGGACCTTACTGCTGTCAGGAGCTCCTGTAGTCTGGAGCTACCACCTGTTCCCATTCACTCCCTGAAGGCCACAACACACACACACACACACGCGCACACGTGCTGGTATCAAACCACACGCAGACACACAGAGGCATGCAAACAAGAAGGAGCGCACACAAAAACATGCCTACACCGGTGCAGACACACACACACTCGACAAACTACATACACTGATTTAGTCATCTCGTGGCACCCCTCTCAGCACTGGATACATGTAAACAGGTTATTGCGGTTGGCTGAGCCTGGCTGTTTGACAGAAGCTACAAAGGCCATGGGAATATCAATTGATACATTTCATATTCCCCCATCAGCTCGCCCGAGACGACAGCATGAAAAGCTGCCGCCGGTGAGTGATCCCTCTCCGTCTCTTTCTGACACCGCGGCGTGATGGAGATCTGAAACATCCTGACTGATGGGCTCGCGCTCCGCGCACACCTGCGAGCTCACGGACGGCGTCCCCGTAATGAACCGTGACAGATCTCCCCAGACAAAGCTGTGAAAAATAAAAGCGCTTCAGGATTCGAGAGGAAATAAATGTACGTTTCAAAAAACTAACTTTTATTAAAACAAAACAAAAAAAAACAAACAAAAACAAACAAAAGAAAAATCAATTATTGACTCATTAACAAGATTATAAAACAGTGATTTAGTTACATAAATAAATTGATATCGGTGTATCAAATCTTAATTTCATAAGCATGTATACATGGGTCATTGTAATAAATAAAAAGGGAGAGCAAAAGATTCCTACACAAACAAAAAAATAAAAACAGCTAGAAAGACTCAGAGGAAATTGTTTCTGAAGAGAACATGAGACACTGGACAAAGTATTTTTTCCATCAAACACACGTGAGGAATTGTTTTGTTAAAGCATGAGTTACACAGCCATTCACTTACTAATTAAGGACACTAAAGCTGGGACCAAAGTTGGTTGTCTCTCACCTCTTAGAACGCGTTTGGTTGTTAGATAGATCTTCTGTTTGGTTATTTTAAAGCGTTAAGACAAGGCAAGAGAAAAGGCTGTTTTTATCTTTAATCAAGACAAGATAGAAAAGTTGCACGGAAAAAAAGAAAAAAAAAACAAAAGACAGAACTAAAGTAATAATGGCAAATAATGAGAGAAGAGCTGAGCATTGTAGAGGAGACACTGGAAATTCTGAAGTGAATGAGGGGAGAACTGAGGAGACTGGTTTTCCCAAATCTGGATTATATCAAAGCACTGAACCTGTGCATCATCACCGAGGTGATTTTTTAAAATGATCTAGTGTACGACTATTAAGTTCATCTGGCGACAGTTAGAGGCAGACTGCAGCCGTGATATGTCCTTAAATACATGTAAGGCTGGACACAAGAATGCACAAATTTTCACCAGATTCACGTCCAATTAGCTCTGGCGTAAAGCACATCGTTTTTTTTTCCCAAAAAGATTCCATGGAAAACTAGGCTACTACAACAGCTTACATGCATAAGTAAGTATCTTATCAAAATCTTGTTTCGAGTGTTCGTCTTTTTGACCGTTGCCTGAAGTAGTCTACCTCTGTCCCCTTCCTAAACTTTCGTCAGCAGGAATGAATCGCGATGTTTCTCTCTGCCACCAATGAGACCGATGAGAGCGAACCTACATTTCTGACGGTATCCAGCATCTCACGTGTGAACACTTGCAGCCACATGAGTTCTAAAAGCCGTCAACAGCGTCAGTTTAGTCCTTCTGATATGTTCCGTTTTTTAACAAAAGAGGAAAAAGAGAAGACAAAGGAGAGAAAGAGATGGAGAGCCAGAGATAGCAAACTACAGCGGCTTCAAGTATTTCACATTACATAGAATACTCTGTATAAATTAGTTAACATATACTTTCAGATCCTCCATATTCAGACATATACTATGGCATATATACAGAGTACAATAAATGCTTGCTCATGTTGTGTCATGTTTTTGTCTTTTTCTTGTAGTCAGTCGTTCATTTGTTCCGCCTTTTTTTTCCTGCGTAGAGTAATCCCTGAGAACGTTCTGGTTTCTGAAGGTTCCACACAATGAACTATAACAGTAGAAAGTCTAATTTCCATGATTCACATGCAAAGAGGGAAGTGACACTGGCCTAGTCTGAGAATACCATACAGTGATGGCTGTGGAGAGGAGGGAGGGGGTCCAAGCATTTTTCGGAGACTTTTCGAGCCAATTTTCAGGGTAGGGGATGGGAGGGGGCGTTGTAAAGAGTACTGATGCGAAGGTTCAATACCAAATGATGAGGTAGTGGTCTCCCTCTGGGCATCTGCTTCAACTAAAAACTTTTTGTTTTAAAACTCAACCGTATCAGTCAAAGTTTGGCTGTTTAAAAACCACAGTGGCACTACGTTAGTCAAAACCAAGGAGGAGCCCTCCTTATCTTTGTCTGACCTGTCCTCTGTCTGGAACGGCCCCCCCCCCGGAGAGGTGGGGCCGAGTGAGATTACAACAATAACAACAACACCAGGAACTAGTTTAAGAGCATTGTTGTGTGTTTGCCGGAGCCGATGCCTTGAACCCAGAGAAAAGCTTAATGGCTGCTCAAGTGCTGTCGCTGCGTACGGATATAAAAGCGGCTAGCGGCTTTCTGTCAGTGCTAACCCAAGCTGTGCCGAGCCAAGCTAAGCTGTGCAGTGCTGCCCAGCGCCCACCAGCCAGGGCCTGGACAGAGGGAGGTGCTCTGTGTGGTTTAAAGCCATAGTTTCTCTCGGAGGATGTAGAGACCTGTGTGGTTGTTGTTGTTGTTTTTTTTCTTTCTTTCTGCACTTTTTTTTGTTTGTTTTGTTTTTACATGAGCGCTATTGTACAAGGGCTTCAGCCACTCGACAACATGTAACTCCATATGCACTGAAAAGAAGGGGGAGGGTGGGGGGGTCCTTTTAAATCAGGAAAATAAAAGTAACAAAAACTGTCAAAAAGCCATTTCACCTTTCGCTTTCGTCTCGCACACATGTAGAGAAATACACACAACATTCACAATGTGACAAATTTCCTCTCTTCTGAAAAATAAAAACACTTCTGTACACATAGTAGTAATAATATTATTAATAATAATAATAGTAATAATAATGTTTATAACAATAACAACAACAAGAACAATAATACCGCATGTGGCTCTTGATTTTTTTTTGTCATCTTTTCCTTTCTCTTTTTGCTTCATTCTACAAGTCACATCCCTCTTTTTACTTGTCGTTTAGTCCAAAAGAAGTTCAAAAAAGGCAGACTCAAGTTAATAGAAAAGTACTAGAGTTGGAGGGCGGCGTTTGGCGACCCCCGGGCCCCCCCCCTCAGCCGAACCGCTCCCTCACCAGCATCATCAGTTTCTTTTTGCCCTTGTAGATCTGTTTCAGGTTGTCTATGAACTGGGTGAACTGGATGTGTCCGTCGTGCGCCATCATGAAAGTCTCCCGCGCCTTCCCCAGGAACTCGATGAACTCGCTGTAGTGGCGCGGGCTGATGTGCGTGAGCCGCGAGTGCGTGGTGTTGATGTAGGCCCCGATGGTGGCGTCCAGCAGCTGCCTGAGCGGCGCCTTGTCCAGCGACATCAGCTTCCCCGAGTTCCTGCGGCTGTGCAGCGCCGACACCATGCCCGGCGTGGTCAGCGTGCAGCGCCGCAAGATGTCCGACAGCACGGTGGCGCACTTCACGCTCTTGACCACCAGCGGGATGACGGCGGCCAGCTCGTTCTTGCCCAGCGAGTGGCTGAGCGCGCAGGCCCACAGCACGTCGTTGATGGCCGGGTGCGTGTCCTGGTTGTAACTGAGGTTCAGGTGAGCCATAGCTAACGTAGCCAACTTATAGGCTCGCATCGGGTAGCCGCGGTGCTCCATGTAGCGTGCAATGGTGAACAGCTGCGTGTAGCTCATTCCCGTGGCGGCGGCGTCCAGTACAATCTGGTAGGCTGTCTCGAAGGCAATGTGGTCCTTTTCACAGAGCGTAAGGGCGGACAGGGCACAGTTCTGGGGGTCCTTCATGGCGCACTGCAGGGCCAGCGTGCGGGCGGATGAGGCCAGGTTCTCCTGCTGGTGGCAGTCCAGGTGGAGCCGGACAATGGTGCTGTTGGACATGACCGTGGTGGCCACGATGCTGGTGGCCTCGGTGGGGGTGAAGAGGGTGAACCAGCTCTGCATGATGCTGTCCAGTGCATACACACCTGCCGGACACAAAAAGCGGACAGAACGGACACGGGTTTGAGAAACACAGCCCGAAACACAGACCTGCATCGTGATTCTTCTGTGAAGGTGGGGGGGGCTTACCAACTTCCGTGGCACACGTGACCAGCCAGCGCACCATCTCCCTCCTCCTCCAGTTTAACGTGGACAGAGTTATTCTCATCACCTGAGGAAGACGGAGAGAGATGGAGCAGGACGACCAAAGACCGAGCCGAGTAAATGTGTACGACATGGGCATACGTAGAAATGGAATATTCAAATTATGTTTGGTACCTAATCCATTTGTCACTTCAACAGTATACTTGAAGAACTGAAAGGGTAAAGATCATATTACATTTCCGAAAAAATATATCTTGGTGCCGTCGTATTTCATGACCACCTTCCAAATGTATGCAGGACAGGTTTGGATCAGCAATCACTTCAGTTTGTTGGAAATTCACACTTTACGATGGAAAACTCCAACAACATAAGAGACTAATCGTGTGGCTCCTTGAGAATGTCTGCCTTGCCGTGTGATGGCTGTCGAACAGGCGTAAAAGAGCACAGCTTTGAGTACAAAATCTGTTTCGTGTGATTATTCCCTTCTGCCAAAACACTGAGAGAACCGCATTGTAAATACTCGACACCATCACCGCTGGAAAAATCGGAAGCCACTTTCTGCACATAGGCCGCCTGAAGTCATGCGTCGCATTCATTCAGATACTATGAACTTATGTTATTGACACGAAATGTTAAATGCAGCAAGAAACCGTTCCAGATCACAAAATCAAAATAAGGATTTTTTACTGGTCCAGCAGAAACTCACACAAACCTGAAACCACAAGTTACATGAAGTAGTTTTTCACACACACTCTGCCACCATTTGTGCGGACTTCTTGCATCCTAATGCTCATTTACATCACTGAACAATTATTTCTAGAGAACCAATCATCAGTGAACCTACATAAACTAAAAGAAACTGAGGAATCTTGAAAAAGAGGATACCACTGCTAGGCTTCTAGTTTAGGTGTTCTGAGTCTTTACTACATGCTTGTCCTGATTCATACGGTCAGCAATCAGCTTTAAACATGCAATCATCGATACATTAGAATCAGAATCAGAAATACTTTAATAATCCCAGAGTATTATTATATAACATATATAAATTCTAATAAACGTGGAGATGACTTCTTATAGAAGCATTATAAAGTTATCATTTGTGGACATATAGGTCATATTGGTGGTCATATTGTGGTCATATTGTGGACAACCCATAAAAAGCAACAATGCGGATGTGCTGTATACCTGCAGTCCCAGCTCCAGGGAAACTTTGAGAAGTGTGATGTCTGGTAGGCTGTCCATGAGAGTGGCGATCTTGAACGCATCTTGTGCCAGTTTAAAAATATGAGAAGAGGAGTGAATGTTTTTCTGGATGGACTCCAGTACTGTCTCCAGCCTGCGACTGTCACCTGGAGAGGGCGAGAATACGGGGAGACCATTTAGAATACGAAACTTATTTGTGAGTATGCTTGTTTTTTTGTTTTTTTTTAAATCATTGGATTATTTTTACATGATTTTGCACAAATCTGAGTACCTTTGGCAGCGGTGAGCATGGTGGAGGCCAGCTCGCACTGCTGAGACTCTATGTGGCTGAGGGTGAACCAGCGTGGGTAGCGGTTAGGGACAACGGAAACGATGTGGTGGGGCCGTGAGAGATCACCGGTGGAAGCTGTGGACTCCAACACCGGCAACCTGACAGAGAAAACAAAAACGATGCAGAAAATAAACCTCAGTCCACATCTCCAACAGAAACTTTTCTCATTTAAAAATGAAGTTGTTATTGTGTCAGGGTATGAATACTTTAAACTGTTCTCTTTCTTTTAAACTGATAATCAACCCTCCACTGACATCATCGAGCAGAGAGTGGAAAATAATATCCCCGTGAGAAAAGCAGAGGCACATAAATGAGGGATCATCGTTCGAGGGAAGCCGGGAGAGACCCCCCCAATCGTCAACATCTGAGCAAAATCACCTCCATCCATAGGTCGGAACGCACAGACACACAGACAGGAGAACTGTACCCACAGAAAAGGTCTTCATTACGATGGTCTGAAAGTGACTTCAAAATGAAAACGACTTCAGTCATCATCATCAGGGGATTACACTTAGCATATCCCTGCAATTTACTTTCAACCTAGTGTTTAATCACCTAGAAACCAAGGTATAATTAGTATTTTCTTCACTCTAATTGGTCATAATGAAGTCGGAGCCACGCAACACCTGCCAGTGGATGGAGTAGTTCGCTGGTTTCTGCCTCTCATTATAATAATACCGACAGGGCCAAGTCTTCACAAGCATCACGAGCACAACACGATTACCACTGTGGCCAGCTCATCTCCTATTCTCCTTTACTTTTCTTCCCTCTGCTCCCACCTTAGTTTCAAAGGTCTTCTTTCCTTCAGAAGACAGCACAACCTGGCCTTCTCTCAGCCAATCACAAAGCTAATTGAGTCCATGGGGAAATTAAGGAATTCACCTTCCAGCCCAGTAAGGCTGGACACACATCAAACAAATACCAACACACATCAATAAAAGACTCCGACCACACACACACACACATGCACGCACGCACACACACACACTCTGAGACGCACACACACACACCTGCCCTTTTGAAAACACATCAAAGCCGGCCGGTAAAAGCAATGTGATGCTAAATGCCAGTTTCAATTTCAGAGCAAAGTGCATGTGATACTGTTGCCACGTGAGTGAAGGCATTTACAAAAACAGCCTCGTCTTCACTCGATTTCGCCCTCCAGGACGCAAAGCAGGGCTCAACTCTCAGGGAGAAAAAGGTGATAAAAAAAAACCCGGTTGAGATGCGGGCAAGTGCGAACACTGACACTTGCTGTAAAAATGGAGATGCTTGGAAGCCCTGGCAACAGCATGGTTCATTCCACACACAACTGAAGAGCTGCTAAAAGCTTCAGGCTCACTGGGGCCTTCTGAAAGATTCCTGGGGTGTTGCAAAGCACTAAAAAAAAAAAAGAGAAAGAAAGAAAAAAATAGAAAAGGAGGGCCTTGGGTAAAGATGGAGGCCTCATCAACATTCCTGTCTTTGTTTGGTTTTCACCAGAGAGCCAGAGGCCTCCATTGGATGGGAGCTCGAGAGGACGGGCCTGCTGAAAAATAGCCTCCTTAAAAATGTAGGAAGGAAAATCTGCACTGGGCTATTGTTCCATGAGAAATTAAAAGGGGGCAAAAAAAAAGAAGTCCCAATGGACAACTCTGAAGTGTTGGATCAAAGCATGGATGCGGTTTACTCTGGCGCGTTCTCACCGAGAACCTTGTAACTACAGCCAAATGCTGCGCGCTTGTAATAAATATGTAATAAATTGTCTTTGTGCTGTAACTCCATTTAAACTCTCAGCTCACTGAGGGAAAATGTAAAGCAACGCAGCAGCACTGAGTGGGATGGTGTGGTGCCCTGCCACATGTACAGGCTGTGCATAGGAGTGTGTGTTAGCTGGTTCTTCCAAAATAGAGCGCTATAGTTTTGAAACAGTGAGAGATTTGTTGTAAGAAAAGGAAACTAAAAAACAACTAGAATTCATTCAAATGCACATACAACATGGGGATAAAAAAGGGACCATAAGCACGGATGAGATGATGAGAAAAAGCAGTCCAGACAGTATTTTACCTAAATCTTCAGGCTTTTTGGGTTTCTGGTCTGCATCACCATGACTACTGACCTCTTTACCTCACGCTCCTTTCCCTCTCCAACAGTAAACACCCTTCACTTTCACAATTCGTCAAGCACACATCCATCAGCCATGCGACACATCCGGCTGAAGACCTCGACTCTATACACAAACTCCCTAACGATGAAATATTCTAGAAGGATTTGACCAAAGAGGCATCCCCTAAATTTTTTCTCTCAAATGTCTGGGCTGCTTAAAATAAAATTTGTTTAGATGATTTTTTTGTTTTCTGGAAGGACAAGGATATCATTCATGTCTTTAAAATCTAAAGCACAGCTTCTCAGTAGGCTGATGGGTGTTCAGACTTTTTAACTGGGGATGGGGACATTCGTTCTTATGAAGTTGAGGAGAGCACACAGTCGCCTACGCAAAAGAGGAAGAGATCAATGTTAAACTGGTCAAAGTATTTTGATGGAAGTGTTGCAAAATGTTAACCGTTTGAAATAAAAAAAATCTAAATGGCATGTTGATTTGGAGAAAGAAAATGTCATAATTGATTTCACTTGGTTTACATTGACATTTCAGCCATCAAGCACTTAACAGGAAATTGGCATGTAGCTATTTAGAAAAAGCTGTAAATACAATCCACGACTTTGGAGAGGGAAATTTGAGAATATCAATTTGCGAGCCGAAATGCTTCTCGGCCGTGTCCAATTGCTTCAGCTCACTGTAATGTCACTGTTATAAACACTGACCTAAGATTATGCAACGTCTTTAAACGCAGCTCTGCATATAAAAAAGATTATGGATTATGCAAATGATCAAAGGCTGATCAAACTTCCTTAGCGATCATTGGATCTCACATGGACACTTGCATGATAGCGGGCGACAGGGATTTGTCTCTTTGGCTTGCACAGAGTGGAGATGAGCGCCGTCTCCTGAGAAGCAGCAAGTGTCTTCTTCTGCCTCTCTGGCTGCAGTCGGATTCTGGGCAGCTCCTGAATCCGTAGGCAGCTCCTGGGTTTTTTTGCTTTGGCCGCTCCCGCCAAGCCATCACAAGGCATATGCTGCTCCAGCACGCACCAATTAACCTCATCTGAGGCCCATAAACACACGCACACACACAATCCTTAAAATACTCCTTACTGCCGGCGCTCACACGCGGAGGCAGAGCGAACTCTTCCTTACATAAAAAGAGGCTTCTTTGCGAGCAAACTGTGACAGAGAAGACGAATGGAGAAAGCGAGTGGAAAGAAAAAAAGTGAGTGTGTTTGTGTGTGTGTGTAGGAAGTAGGCTTTCTATCTCTCCTTTTATCAATGATAGTGTTATAATAGGTCCATTAAAATAGCCCTGGTTACTTTACCTCCTCCTCTATATTTAACTATCCTCTGTCCCGTGGGAGCGAGGAGGTATATGCTATCACATTACACTACGCTACATTACACACATTCATTATGTGCTGAGTAGACACCCCTGGTTCCCAGGAGCACCCATAAGTGGCCATATTATTCTAAATCGCCGGTTTCACACCAGAGAAGTGAGGATGGAGGATGTGAGGGGAGGGGAAATAAAAGGTTAAAGGAAGGAGCAAGGACGGATAGAGAGTGGCTGACTCAGGGAGAGCAGGTTTGGGATGTTTGTTTATGGGCGGCGGTGTTGCTGGTGGGGGGTGGGGGGGGGGCAGCTGGAAACGCAACCTTAAAGCCACCCTGAAAAAAGCAAACCGTCTCATTTTGGCTACGTTAACATGCTATTTGTGTTCCACGTGCCTCGTATATAGGTTACAGCAGGAAGGAGTGAACGTGTCTTTTTGTTCTGTAAACGACACAACGCACAACAACAACAACAACACACACCGACTGACTGTGGCGAAGGTGTGAGAAGCCTGGCGTTGCAGAAACATAACAAACGTCTTCCCCACGCTGTCCTCTCCCTGTTGGTTTGGCATATGTATGTGTGTGTGTGTGTACGTGTGTGTGATTCCTCCTCATTACAGCTGCACTAATTACACTCTCATTAATGTAATTAATATTCACTGATCCAGCTCCCACAAGTCACAACATCAAAACACAGCAGCGTAGACTGATTAACGCACACACACACACACACACACGTATGCTTTGTCCACAGACGAGTACACACCAGAGCTTAATACAGAGAGATCACACGCACAATAAGCAGACCCATAAACACAGAAGTCACATTACGCTGCAGACCACGCTTTACATTTTTAATGCTCTTTTAATCATGGTTCTAACATGAGGACACGAGAGCTTCAGGAGTCCACTAAAGCGCCCCTGAAGGAGAATCTCCCCACACCATATCTGGCAAATGAAATCATTTTGATAAGGATGGCGTTTATGGGCAGAATCGGGACAAATGATCCTGCTAGTTTTAGGTGTTTGGGGACATTTAAATGCATCATTGTTGTTGTTTGGGGAGGGGGAGTTGCTTTTCAAACCTGAATACCATAATAAATCCATGGAAAAAAAAAGCTTTTGATAGATACTAAAACAAACGGTAACAAAAGAACGGTCGACCTACCGCATGGCTCTCAGTGCAATTTTGTACGCCAGTTCGGCGTCATGAGGTAGGAGAGAGGTGAAGAGATAGCGGGCGAAGGTGTGCATGGGGACACTCTCTCTGTGGACAATCTCTCCAAGGCCAGAATACGGACCGGCTGTTAAGAAGAGACAAAAATAGTGTGCCTTAACAAACAGTGAGGAGAAATCCATGAAAATGCATTTATCTGCCTGATCATCCACGTTCATTTTCTGCCTGCGTACACTGAGAAAGGATCTCCTGATCCCACCAGAACCCACTCATCTGCTCTTTCCCTTGCAGCCAGGAAGAGGCAGAGCCACGCGGCACTGAAACAATCCGTGACGTCACAAAACATACGGCCGTGTGTGCAGACTTGGCCTCGTGCCCTCCTCCTTCCCTCCCTCCCTCCCCTTCTTCCTGCACTCCCCCTCATCTCTGGTGGGTTATTTTAAACCCCAGTGGGCCTCTAAGCCGCAGACCACATCACACAGTGGCGCGGCTGCAGCCTCCAGGGGCCCGCAGAGGCCTCGGAGCCGGGAGCTCCGGTCGCAGAGTGGAGCCAGAGGTGGGTGGTCGCGCTCTGGGATGAGGCAGGGCTGGGGTTTGGGTGGGGACTGGACTGGAGCTTGACTGGGTTGGGCCCTTTCCTTCAGGATGTCCCACCGCCACCTTCGTTCTCCTTCTCCTCACCATAACCAAACCTCACTTTGTTCCAGCCCCAGTCCCGTAAACGCACACATGCGTGTGTGCTGACACAATACCCGGGGTGCTACAGTGTAAAGAGCTCATTTTGGTCTGGCCCGGCACAGCGCAGCCTCTATTTGCACCACAGAATGAAAGGATAATAAATAGCGAGACGGAGTCAAATCTGTTTTCCTGTTTTAGCGAAAATGTTTGGGCTCTCGGTGTGTGGGTGGATGAGAAATGACAGGGAGGAGGCTGTGTCTATTATATGTGTGCAGCTGTTTCGTGTGGAGCCTGCTGGGAAATGCAGTGAAGCACACGGAAACCGAGAAAACAAATGCGCTTATTTGTCAGTCGCATTTAACAAAGGGCTACCCTTTTGAACACACACACACACCGACCGAACGGTGGAGCAGGTCACTTAACAGAGAACGTCCTCTGTCCAGAACAGTTGCGAAAAAAAAACATTTTTATCGAGACCATGAGGACAATAGCTTCCTCACCCTCCAGCAGGAAGACGGCCTGTTTACGGAAGATTTTCACCAACGAGTCATCCAGCTCCACTTCCTGCAGCTTGGCCAATAGCTGCTCCTCGTTGCGACACACCTTCTCTTGAGCGTACAGCCCATCGGGCATCACCCGCTGCTGGCCTAGACCAATCAGAGCCGTCTCCACTGCCAGTGCCAGGTACGATTCGCCGTCTCCCAGCAATCGCTGCACGGGCATTCGTTGGAGTTCTGCTCTGCTCACCACACTGGAGCAGTCTGCAGGGAGCAGAGAGATGGGAATACAGGGAGAGGACAAAGTGTCTGTGAGTCAGCGTGCAGTGGGGCTGTCCGAATACAGAGGAACACATCTGGAGCATCCCACTGCTCACTGCCACAGCTTTCCTCATCCCTTTTCTGCAGGGAATGGAATCAAAAGGTGGACAGAACAATCACAGTGCATAATGTAGGACATTTAAAAACATGATAATACAGAGAAACACAAGTTAAGCTACACTCCTCTCACACTGATTTCAAATACTGATTTCAGGGTCTGAAAACTCTTGTAAAAATACAGGCATGTCTCTACTATTTCATAAATAGGATCTTGCTCATTTTACATAATCACATATTCATAGCTGGTTTACATGTTACACAATATCGGATTGTACTACTGGACTAACACAAGCGACTGTACAAGTTTGAGAGTTACTGAAAGCCATCAGTACCTGAGAGGTCTAAGCAGGTGTTGGAGCCCTCTTCGCCCGCTCGTCCCGACTCTGTCAAGGTGCTGAACAGGGTACCGATGGGATCAAGAGGGTGTCCCACCCAGCCCTCCATGTTGGTTATGGAGGTGTGACCTTTATGAAGCACCTCTGAGATAAAAAAAATGTTTGGGTTAGGGAAGTGTGACCTTTATGAAGCACCTCTGAGATAAGAAGTGGCACAAAAGACACCATTATTCACACATTAATCACTCCAGGCTGATGAATGATGAAGTTTCATTAGCTCTGTATCAAATGAGTTCTGACATAAAGGCATGCACACATATTATAATCATCGCTTCCCATTCAAATGTATATATAATTATGAAGTAAAGCCAACTCCCACCTTCTTTCTCCATCTTGGATGGAAACCACAAACCATAACGAGACATACAGTAAGGTCCAGAAGTGTTTGGAAACTTTTGTTTGTGTGGTCTTATCCAAAAACAAGCAACGAAAGAGAGGAATCAAATTTGAATCTAATTTGAATTTGAAATCTCTTTTTAATTAGAATTTGAGGCTGCTTTAACTCTTAACTCTTCTAGATCACTACTTTTTTCAGCCTTTCTAAACATAAATGTGTTTACTTAACTAATGAGCCATACCATCTGTTATATACTAAAAAGTAAATGAACACCTGAGCTGGGTTTCCTTCCTCCAAATTGCTCCTAATAATACAAAAGTATGGAGCTGAAATTGTATCTGTTCAATGCTTTCAGATCAACTCTGACACAAAAAGACTTCAAGTGGGACTTTTTTGATGTTGGCGAAATTCTTACTTCTCTTTTAGAGAAAAAAACTGAAACAGTGAAACATTTTGAAGACTATGAATACATTTACAAATCGAAATAATAGAAAAAGAAATCCTCCAACAAAAAATAACACGTCTCACCTTTTTTGTGCCGTCGAAAGTGCTCCAGTTGCCTCTGCTGCTGCCTTCGTAACGTGTTGACCACAGCTATGGCCAGCCGGAGGGCCTCTCTGGGGTAACCGTGTGAACGCAGGGCATCCACGCGGGCGCAGGCCGTCGGCACGTGCTCTGAGGCAGAAAACGTACCTCCAACATTCTTTCCCTCGCCATTCAATCGCTCTCGGAGCAACTTCCCTCTGACACCTGCGTGCGTGTGGACTCACCGTGCCATAAAGGCCAGCCGCGCGCGTCGAATAGGGAGCCCTCTTGGTTGTCGTGGTAACAGTAGTTGGCATAGAGGTCGCTGGCGATAATGTGCTGGAGGTGCCGGTCCTGCCAGTGCAGGTCGCACGCCTCGATGGCCCGCGTGAACACCGTCCTGTGGGGGCGCATTTCTGCCCGAGGGAGGAGGGGGAGCGTCACTTTCATGTGCTTGGGGGATAAAAAAAGGCCAGCCTGGGCCCATGTCCACTAAAAAAAATCATCATTTACAATCTACACATACTGTTCACTGCCCACAGAAAACAGAGACAACAGCTCTGACCCCCCCCCCCACCCCCAAACGTAAATCCGTTATCGACAGAAACGCGACACGTGTCAATCTCTGACCTTGGTTGCCATGAGCACCCTGAGGCAGTGAGTGGGTGAGGTTGGGCAGCTCGTTGCCGTGGTTACCGTCCTCCCAGGGGCAGACGTCCACGCTGTTCCACCTGCGCAGCTGCCGCAGCCACGAGGATTTCTGCTCCGGCTTACAGTGAGGGTTGAGGACGATGCACATCCACAAGGCACCTGCGCTCGGGGAGAAGGCACAGAGGCTTCAGTGACCTGCCCGGCAACCCGGCCCCTGATGATGATGATGATGATGTAAGTAACGAGTCAAGCCATGCAAGAGAGTGTGCCTTCTGAGCGTTAAAGCCGCCTAAATGCATCTATTGTGCAACCCCTTAAAGCTCGAGGCAGTTTTCAAGGAAGTGTAACACCACAGCGTTGTCTGTAGCTCTTTGGAGCGCGGCCCCCCCCCCGCTGCAGTGTACTTGCACTCGGATGCAAAATTCTTTAAAGGGGGAACTTAACTAGTCCAGAGGCAATGCCGCCTGCACACACATCATTTTGGCGTAAATTGGAACAAACAGAATATGAAAAGTGGCTGTGTCTCAGGGGATCCCGGCGCATTCAGGGATTTAACTCTTAAGACTGCTGGAGGAGTGTACACTCCACGGAAGGGGGTGTGTGATTGGGTTACAAATCCGTGAGCGCGCAGTTACCAAGACTTTAGCTGAAAAGGACAAAAATAAGGACGGAGACAGAAAATGAAAGGCATCAGAAAAAGGCGGCAAAGGTGTGAGGAGAGAAGAAAAATGATATGGGAGCAAGAGATGAGCTGCAAACGGAGACATGGGCGAGGACAAGCCGAACGAGGCCCGGCTTTGTGTCTGAAGGAGAGGAGAGGAGTAGCTGCGACTCAAAGAAACAGAAAGACAAAAGAGGCAGAGAGCGGCACTGAGAGGCAGCATTCAGCACACATCAGGGGGAGTGATAAGGACTCGGGAAAGAAGGGTTTGAAGTGTGGACTTCAAAGAGGCCGCGCGCGCGCACATTTCCAAAAATACGTGGAATAGAAACAGATGAGATCACTCGGCCGGCCTCGCAAAAGTGCAGAACAAGACCAAAGGGAGAAAACTAACATCATCATCAAGAGCAGCAACAGCATCAGCCGTGACATGAGAGGAGAGCAACAAAGACTGGAGAGACGTTGGGCTGCTGTCCCGGTGACGGGCCTGTTGTGAGGAGGTGTTCGGTTGTAGGTACAGTAAGTCTGTCACGCCGTATCAAACCTGGCACGTGCACGGCCAGCACTGCTCTGCCGGATCGACTAAAAATATCATCCCGAGTGTCTCAGAAACACAGCAGAGGTGATGTGCGAGACATTAAAACGGCTTTTAATTCACAAACAAGGATCCTGCTGGGCAATAAAACGTTGCACCGAGAGATGGTGAGGAGCGTGCACGTCTGGGAAAGTGGCCTCCGAAAGGACGTGTAAACAAACAGGGGGAACAGGCGCTCGTGGCTGTGTGTCAGTGTCTGGGTTTGATCACCCACCTCACTAAATCTGTCAAAGCCTGCGCGCGTGCGTGAGTCTGTGTGTGCGTGTGTGTGTGCGTGTGTGTGTGTGTGTGGGTGTGTGTGTGTGTGTGTTTTTCCCCCTCACCCAGCTCGTCCCAGAGCTGTCTGTACTTGTCGGTCATGGTGGTGCCCTGCTGTCTCCACAGCGCCAGCCGAGGGTCGGCCATGAACTGCTCTGTGATCAGTGTTAACATTCTCGCTCCGTTGGAGTCGCGCATCTTCAGCATCTCCCTCACCTGCAGGAGGAGGAGAGGGGACAGACCCGCACACGTTAGCAGTTTAGACCAGCAGACCAACGGGCAGCTGAGGAACACACAAACAGTGTGTCATGACATGATGGCGGCGTCACACGTCTGACTCGGCTTTCACAGGGGAGGCCGGATTATGCTGGCTGTGCATGATCTAGTTTGAAACCTGGGCCTATATCCCATTTTAGATAAATAATGGTAACCATCCAAACCCATTATTATTCTCATGTTTACTGCCTACCTGTTTTACTCCGATTAAAGTTTATGGAACTGCTTAATCTTTTCTTAAGTTTAACTTTGAGGTTGGAACATGTTGTCTGGCGACAAAAATAAACCCTGGTCTCAGTGGTAAAATCCTCTGAATCTTCAGAAGCTGGTCTTACTAAATCCATGCAAGATCATTTAAAAACCATGCATGTTTGTAAATGTTTTTAAATGACATTGGGGATTACACATTCTGAAGGGTTTTGTTTTTTTAGCTTTTGATGCTTAAAATGATTACATTTTTTATGCATTTAAAAGGCAAAATGTATTGACTGTATGCACACTTTGACACACATCTCTGATTCCATTTGTTCTCTTTTTTTTTTTAAACGAATCATCAGTCCACAGTGTTCACCTTGCAATCCCATGTTTGTTTTCACTGCTGACCACTCTGATATTGCCTAATTTTTTTCTTTCGTTTTGGATTGGACCTTTAAAAATGTTTTCACAACATCTAAATAGTTATGTCACTTCTTTTTTTTTTTTTAAGTTCTTCCAACCGCAGAAAAAGATCTTCTCTCTGGTCCGTAAACTGTTTATATATAAATTATTTTAGCAGGGGAAAAAAAGTTAAGCTTGTCAAAATCTGTGCTTTATATGAGAAAAAAATGACTGAAATCATACATCCATAACACAGGAGCATGTGTGATGAACAGATTGAATAAAGCAAATCGCCCCCATAACCCCTGCAGTGGCTGAATTTTCTTCCCTTTCTTTTATTTTGTCTCACTGAAAGATTTTCTGAGCTGAACAAATTGCAAGAGGGACTGCTTTATTGTAAACTCTGGTGGTCAGCAACTTCTTGTTGTGTAGCAGAAACCACAACTGCTCTTGGGTGTGTGTGCGTGTGTGTGTGGGGGGGTCGTATTAAATATTAAACTGATCAGCTACTTTAACAAAAACAAACAAGTGTACCCTTTTCTTGGGAAACGCAGTGAGAACAGCAAACGGTGTGTCTTGACGTTGGCTCCTCTCACACACGCATCCCAATACATGTGAATTTTATCTGTCTTTCAGACTAGTTCAATGGAAACGTATATTTGTCTTTAAGGATGAGGCTGCCACTAAGACCAGCCAGCTCAGGCGCAACTCTCATGGAATCATCAAATCACAGGTCTGGGGCAGTGCGCAGTTTTTATACCTCTGCTCCTCTTTACAGAAAGCTTTATTCTGTGACTGAGAATGACTAAGATACAGACCCCTCTATAGTGGTATAGCGGACGTCCTATGATGAGTTATATGCCTTAAGTAACTGATTTTTGGGAGAATAAAATGCAACAAAAAAGGGCACAAGAGAGAGGAAACTGTAAACTTAAGGGAAGACAACCCGAAGAGGAGGGTGGGTAACTAACGTGCTCGTTTCTGTGACTGATGGGGGCTTATTTGTGTTGTGCGCCTGTTATGTTTTCTGGGTCCCGACCTTGCTGAAGAGCAGGTTGAGCTGCTTGCCCGAGCCGTGGTATCCACCCTGGGACAGGAAGAGCTTGACTTGCTCCTGAACCTGCTCCTCATCCAGGTGCCAGCAGTTCTCATCATCCACGCTCGCCCCCGCTGTGGGGTCTGGTGCACCTACGCACGTGCACAAAAACATGGGTAAAAGTAAATTACCTAATGTGCAAAACAACGACATAATAGCATAACTTTTATATTCCCCCCCATAGTTTTATCTTTGAAAAGTCAGATCATAAAAAAACTTGATGTGGGTAACAATCTAAGTCTAATCACAGTCTAATCTAAGACATGTCAACAAACACAAAGACTCTCATCTCTTACATAATGATACAAATGGCATTTATATGTCGGCTAATACGGCACAGACGTTTGATAAATACAGCATTATTTGATCCAGTCTCGCACCAAAAGCTTTATACCTTACTGATGACATTGCAGCCCCAAAAAAAGACAAATGTATCCACTAATCAGGGTTAATCAAACTAAATGACACTAGCTTTTAAACACTGTTATGACTTTGACGTACTATACTCTAAATAAGACTTCCTATGAAGCACCATCTCTGTTATTCTTTGTAATCCTGGTAAGATATTCCAGAAAAGGCAGTTGACCCTTAAACAAAGTGCTGATAAGTGTTTAACCACGCATGTCTTCTGCCAGCTCTCGCGTGCACAGTGTGGGTTAGATGCTTAAATATAACATCTGCTTTGTGTATTGCTTTCCACATTTTGACTGATACTATGAAAACCTCCATATACAGGACGACGACGACGTAAAGAAGGGTTATCGGTGTGGACAAGGTTGTAGGCCTCAGCTGCCATCCTGTAAACAGAGCACTACAGTTCCCACAGCGCACTGCTTCGGTCACTTCCTGGCTCGTGTGTGCGCTGCCCAGAACTGCACCTGACACACACAGTCTCCTGCTCTCCAGTACACGTGTGACAGCGATCTGGTGTCTGGCTCTTCCTGTCTATTTCTGACACAGCTGGGCTCATTTCTGCTGCGTCTGGGGCTAAATGGCATCCACAAATTAGCGGAATATCAGAATCCAGCGTCCCGAGTGGTCTCTGGGAGGCAACGATTTGTTGTCGAAGGCGCAGTGCCATTCCTGTGGCTAGTTGCGATCCCATGAAATGCCGATCTTGTATTTGTGCATATTAGGAATATAGTCAGCTTTAAACATTTGTATGCTAATGCGACTTGATGGTTGCTCTCAGAATCTCTGTCCCCTGCTGTCCATGTCTTTTACACCACTCTTCTTTCCATGTTTCCTTCCTGGAAGTCTGTTTCCTCTATGCCTTTATTTCTCCATCAACCTTCCACTACTACACAGCGGGAGCTCATCAGCTCTTTCATTTAATCTCAGCTTCCTGTTCTCGCTGGTTCCTTTCCTCCTCCTCTTGCAGGTAAGCAGCGAGCACCGCATCAAAAACAGCAAATACGTGCCCTCCTAATCTCCGTCTTCTGTCTCCGTCCCTCCGAGGTAAACTGGCTTACAGTGTTGATTACAATCACGCCGTCTCTCCCGTGCTGTGCGGCTCTCATTAACGACTGCCATCGATCCTGACACGCTTTACCTTCATCACTAAATCAATACCTATGCATGTAAAGGCAGGAAGACGCCCTTAAAATGAGCATTCTCCTGTGATCTCGGACATCCCCCCCAGCGACCTCTCGCGTGCGCCTTTCCTCACCGTGGACTTGGTTGATCTCCGAGTTCTGGGACAGGATCTCGTCGGCCAGCTTCTGCGCGGTGGGCAGCACCTCGGTGTGGTGGACAGATATCAGGTACTGGACGAACTTCTGCAGCTGGTCTCTGCTCATCTGGAACAGGGTCTCCGAGATGGGCAGGTGCAGCTTGACCTGCTCGGGCTTGCGCACTCTGTAGAGCGACAGCGCCACGACGTGCGCGCAGTAGAAGATGTCTTTGTTCCCGCAGGTGCAGGTTACCGCGGTGATTTTGCAGCGGTCGAAGCTGACGCTGACGCTGCAGACCAGCTCCGGGGACGTGGCCGGGTCAGTCACCGTCCCACTGAGATGGAATCCTGTATGATAAAAAAAAAAGAAAGAAACGGGGAGAAAAGGCATCAGTGTTTGGTCAATAGAGAGCTCTTCAAACCACGTCTGTAGGTTTTCACTTAGTCGGCAGATTTAGGAAAAGAAAAAATAACAATTTTGATGATCGTGTTAAAAAAAAAAAAGAGTTTCTCAAATGAGGCCACAGCCTCTTTATTGAACCGTAAACAATTGCCTAAACCTACATAACCTGCATACTGGATCATTTGACTGAGTCACTGAAGGCCCCCTCTGATGAATGACAAAGACTAGAGTCAAGATTTTCTCCACTCAGTCATCCGCCTGCCATAGGCCTCACGTTTCCTTCATCATGAGATGCATTCAGGGCCCTGCTGCTCTCTCTGAGTAAGCGTCCGTGAATCTGACGCTCATCAATCCAACAAACCTGCACAAAAGCCGGCCGTCCACAACCAGTGTGATCCGAGAAAGCAATGAGGAAGTCGGCGGTGAGCGCGCCTGCTCCAGCATGAATTATACAGATTCTTGTTTGAATATAATGTTTGATCTTGTCTTACACTGCTATCTGGAGGCGGGGCAAGTCATTATGCAAGACGGAATATGAATGAGACAGGTGGGGTCCCCGACAGAGGCTTTAAACACACACTCATGAGCATATGAAAGCTACGGACGCGTGCATACACACTGAGACACAGTGTGAGATCATGATTTATTAATCATGGGAGGGGTTAGAAGAGACGAAGAGCAGCTTATGAATGCATTTATGTGCTCAGGAGAGATCTTAGAAATTCATGTGGACCAGGCAAAGACATGCATATCTTTAATATGTTTATCAAAGCACTGCGTGCACACATCAGTGTGATATAAAGCATACATTAATGCATGTATCAAAGGCTGTCCTCGGTTTGGTAAGTAGGGAGGTGCATGAGCTGAATATTTTATAGGATATAGCTGAAAATGGGCGTATGGTTGTACAGGCAAAGCTAAACAAAGGTCGGGTCAGAGTAGCTTCCCTTTCTCCTTTGTGTCCTGGAGGAAAACGAAGGTGAGGGAAGATGAAAGTTGACCGAATCGCACGCCGTACGTCCAGCACGGGCCTGCGCTCCGAGAGCATATGTGGAGCAGATGGAGGCGATCCGTCTGCAGTGACATCAGCATCGTAGCGACTCACACAAAGTCGCAGTCGGTTAGGATGCGGCCTGAGAAATGTCTTTGAAGGGCTGCAAAATGCAAAACTACAAAAGCATCAAAGCAGAAACGATAACGCCTTTTAGCATGTGCCCTTTTGCAAAACCTTAGTCAGCAGGAGGAGAAAAAAAAAAAAAGTGTTGGCTGCACATATCAAACAGGACACAACTGCAAAAAAGTCTGCTGTGGAGATATGCGTTTCCATTCTGAAGGCCAGCTGGCAGAGGAAGTGCATGTTTGTTAACAATATCCACAGAAGAGGGGCGTGGATCCAATATGGCAGCCGCCTGCATCTGCTGCAATCAAAGCCTATACGTCTACAGCTGTGGTAGATGGGGATGAGGTGGGGGGGGGGGCACACTGAGACAATCTTAAAGGAGACAAAAAGGTTTACAGGCAGCAGCCGGCTGTGAGGTGGAAAGCAAACATATTTAGCCGGGAAACGACAAGCAGATGAGCAAACGAGCTTTTGATTCTCTCGTCGTGGACGCGCACACCGGTGTGTGTTTGTTTGCATGTGTACGGCCCCGTGTTTGTAGAGCGGCCCCTGGTCCCCAGAAAAAAAACAAGAACATCGAAAGCACGTGAGGCTGAGAGAGCCCCGAGAAAAAAAAAAAGGGCCCCCGGTGCATCACACATGAAGACCCACGTTTAGCAGGCGACTTTAAAAGGCATCCGCGTGGTATTTTTTCCTCTTTTTTTCTTCCCTTTTCAAAGGGGGAAAACTGACTGAGATATTTTTTTTTAGATTCAAAACACATGGCGGGGCCTATGATGAACCAGCTTGTAATAAAACACTTGCATGTTTGAAAGGAAAACTCTGTTGCGTGTCCCTTTACTTTAATGGGCATTCTAACTCTTTCACCTTCCAAGCCCTTTACGTCCCCCCCCCCCCCCCCCTCTCTCTGTCCACATTCCCACAGCTCTTTCACTCTCACTCTCTGACAGATGGGTAGGTAATGAGTTTCGCCTTTCCCCGTCCAATCGTCTGGGCACCAAAAACTGCCCCCCGTGCCAAAAATGCCCTTTTAATTTAGCCAAGCGCTGAGTACAGGGATATTACTGTTTAGACACACACATGCATGCACACACGCCTCCCATGACTCGGAGCTGGGTGGGTATGAAACCTTCCATGTCTCATGTGCAAGCTATTAAAGAGCCTGGTTTCCCCCTCACCCGGCCTGCCCAGCACCTCTCTCCCCAAGAGCTGCTCGGGGGCTCTTTTCCGAGCATGTTCAAGAGGGCCCACGGTTGGCTTTCAAAGTAACCATGGCGGCCATTTTTAGAACAAGGCCTCAGTGAGGTTGCCCTAGAAACCCTTCCTGACCGCCCGGGTGAAATCACACTTGGCCCAGAGTGTCGTGTGTGGCGGCGGGAACACTGCGTGACACTGTGAGGAAGAATGAGGATACGCAGAAATGTATGAGTCCGAATTCTACAAAGTCCTGCGGACCACACACACTCTTTGGCGGGGGGACCCGCATCAAAGCATTCCTGCCCGCTGCCCCTTTCGCTCCATCTTTAGTTTTGAAATTGTTCGAGTGGCGAATAAGCCAGGATGCACTCATGACCGGCTAAGAACCACTTATGCCTATTCAGCCACAAAGAGCTCCAGAAATACTGGACTCTTCCCTGGACAGGGAGGGGCCTGCGAGTCCATCAACATACATCTGCGCTGACAGAAGAATACCTCCTTTATACGGCCCATAGAAAGCAGGGGTTTGCTTCCCACATGAAGGCGGTCGGGCGGGATCAGTTCTGGGCCTGAGAGGGTTTGCCTGCCAAGGCACAAAAGTGCACAGTGTCCCAAAATCACTGGCTAAATTAGATTGAGCGACATACATATATTTTCACAATTGCGTTAAGATTCCGAGTCAATTGAGAAAATTCAGGTCCAACAGTGGGAAGGCCATTAAGTTTATTGGCCGAATTGGTTCATGACTGACTTTCACCTAAATTTAACATGGCACCATGTGGTCCAGACAACACTTAGCAGTTGGCTTTGCGTGCAAATTTGTATTTGCGATGGAATCAAAGTGTATGATGGATTAGGTCAGACCAAACAAGGTGGAAGAAATGGGTCGGTTTGAAAGCGAGTCAACAAAAGCACAAAAAGGGGGAAAAAGGGAGAGAGCAAGGAGATATTTAAGGCCCACTCTCCCACTCAAAGTTCCACTTTACACATGAATCCAATGACCTCATGAGCTGCAGACAGACACAGAGTTGAGCCAGCTTTCACGCAGCCTGTCCTGAGCCAAGGGGACCACCTGTGGAAGACCGAGCGCTAACACGGGAGCCGACTCCGTGTTGACCGAAGGCGGCCTGCTAAACCTCACCGAGAAAAAGGTTTTGCTATTGGATGGGAATTCAATCCGTTTGGCTGGATTGAGCCGTGAGGCCCGCGTGAAAGGAGATCTGAACCACAACTGAAGAAAAGCAAGACAGCGGCGCAGGTCGAGGAGGGGTCGAGAGATGTTGGCGGACCCCCACCCCCACCCCCACCCTCACCCCCAAACCCTCACCCTCACCCTCCATACCTCTGACGCTCCATCCCACCCACAGCTAAAAGAGCATTTCCTACACCGCGGCTCCTTGAACCTGTCCAATTAATAAGGTAACAAAAGGAAAATACGAGGCCTTTCAGCCTGTTGGAGGGGCGGCGTGCATGCGTGTGTGGTCCTATAAGGAAGAACTCATACAGAGACTATAAACAAGATCAGTGTTGTTCTGCAGGAGACCTTGCTCCGGGCGTTTGAGTGCATGCATGAGTCCAAGGTGTGGGACAGGCTAGAATAACAGCGCTGAGCTCCGGGGCCGGCCATATTTATACTTTTAACCCGCTGTTGGAACGAAAAAAGTCTTCCTCCTCCTTGGGTGTGTTCTCTCGCCAGCGCATTCAGACACACACACACACACACACAGGCTCGGTCTGAACGGTTACCCCGACAGACAGAATTTAGCATAAATTAATGTTTTCAGCTATTCCATGAATTTCAATGCTTTTACTTTCCCATGAGATTCTGACAGCGAAATCTGGATGCTAATCGTCGAGGTGGCGGGGTCGGAGGATTTGTATGCAAGCATGCGTGCGCGTACGTCGGCGTGCGCGCGCGCGCGTGTGCGGGTGCGCTGATGGCTGTGTGGGTGATTGGAGTTGTCATCAGCTGGAGGTTGAAATGACAGTCTACTTGTGGGCCGCTGCCACTTAGTTGCCACGCTGCGGATCAGGAATGACTTGCAATTTTCCAACTATCGCTTTCAAAATGGATTCTAATTCTGCCGGATTGGGCCTGACAGGCAGAGCTGGTGTGACTGCTCCGGCCGGCTGATCCCAAACGTCGCTACTCAGAAAGCTGACCCATGCCGGGAGACGGCGATGCCTCTGCCCCGGGGATGGGAATGGGATACCAGATCAAGGGGTTGGAATTGTGGCTTTGATGGGCCATCTAATGCTCCAGGGGACGGCAAACACATTCGGGGGCATTGGGTGCAGCCAATGGTGAGGCCTTCATTAAACTATTAAATCTAACATTACTGCGAGGTGTGATTCCAGCCACCTGTCTGCGGTATTTGGCGGATTGTTCCTTTAAATTGCCTTATAACAAAGTGCCAGCAGGCAGTGAATTTTCCCTCTCCGGCTTGTACATTAACTATACATTATCCCGATCCATGTGATCCATGCGCAAGGTTCATTAGTGTGAATGGAATTACAGCTGGCTGGAAACAAATGTGTGTAATTAGCAGAGGTCCTGTCCCAGCAGAGCCACGCAAGCTATACATGGAGGTAATGGGATCCATCGAAAAGCCATTGTCTGCCGAGGGTGTCTCTAATGACAAACCTATGCAGCCGTGGTCTCGCAGCGGGAGCAGTCCCGCCTTTACCGGGGAAGCGAGGCGGCGTCCGCGTGAGCAGATCTGTGTCCATCTGGATGACGGCTCAGTCGACCGTGTTAAAAGAGTAAACAAAAAGCACACGGCGCTCGTCGGTTTTGGGAGAGGGGGGCTTGTCGGATCTTTATGCATCAACGGCGTGCGCAAAGTGCCAAGATGACATTCGCCATGCTTGTCACAAGTGATTACAGATGGTTCTTTCGTGCCTGATTTGCATCTTTTTGCTAAAAACAGCTTTCAGAAAAACAGCTTCGGCATGAAAGTTGAACTTAAACAAAAGGGGAAGGTTAAAAAAACAAACACAAAAGCAGAATAAAGTGCAGTAAAAACACAAAGTGCGGAGTATGCAGAAGGGGAATGTGGCTAAAGGTGGACGGGATCTATTTCCAAATGAGAATAGCTGGGCGTGAGCAGCACTGGACAGAAAACCTACCGCATGACAGCGCTTCACACATGTGCGAGTATGTGTGTGTTTTTTGCTTCGCTTTTCCAGGCCAGGAAATAACCTTACACTCTTTACCCTTCCCATTTCATTTGGAAAGTCACCCGACACACTCCACCAGACACAGACACACAACGACATGCACGCACACACCCGCACAACTCCACCCTTTGACACACACTCATGATGCCTTCATGCATGCACGCATACTGGCTCCAGTGACTCCCAGCAGTCAACCTCCTTCTGCTCACAAACAGCCCCTCCTCTTTCCTTTTTCTCTCTCCAATAACTGACTCCTCCTCCGTTCCCCCTCCCATCACACACACACACACACACACACAGACACACACACACACACACACAGAATGTTGCCTAGCCCTAAGCTGACCCGTTGTGTGTACTGACGTCACACACTAGACAAGGGAAGGCATCATTCCAGACAGACGCACACATGTGCACACGCACAAACGCACACACATAGCACACACACACACACACGCACAGGCCTCAGCCAAGGGGGAAACTGCATTCCAGCACAGGCACACAGGCACACAAACACACATCACCACGCCTGGCGGTGGGAAGCATGGGGAGCGCTCAGCTGTAGCAAGGAGGCGGGGAGGAAGGGGAGGATGGTTGGGGGGGGGGGGGGGGGGGGGGCAAAGGGGGGGGGGGGGGGTGTTTCAAAGGAGGGAGGAGGGAGTGATGGCTCTGAGCCAGTGTTCCTCTGAGCTCAGCACTTCCCCTTTCAGCTCCAGCCAGCCGCCAGTTTGCGTAACGCAGCCCATGCAGCCGTGCTGGCTCGTGTTTAACCCCTTCCCTCCCGCAGTCGCCGAGGTCACCCGCACTCTGGGCTGCCTCTGCCAGGGCACGCCAGCCTAAACCCCCCCCCCACCTACCCACCCACCCATTCCCTCTGCCCAACGTCCACAAACACAGTGTCCAGTTATAGCCACAATGACGCTGTGTACTGCTACCCAAAAAAGATGGAGGCAGACACATGTGCGCCGAAACACGGCAGAGGATTGGTACTGAGAGCACTCGCGGAAAAAAAAACAACCTCCCCCTGTGATTTTCAGCTAGATTGGTTCCAGAACACAATAGAACAAGACAAACAAATGCTCCGTCCTTAACTAGCTATCATTCAAATGAACCACTCAAAGGGGGATGAGATGGGAGGCCTCGCACGTCCGATTTGGCCCTCCTCTTCCTGAAAACCCCGGTGAAGTGTCATAGCTCACGCTAACCGCGGCGGACGTGTTCCACAGTGGCAAGACGGGCAGAGTCAGGGGGTGAATCGGGCGGGGGGGAGAGGAGGAGGAGGAGGTGGAGGAGGAGGAGGGGGTTTCTCTCACGTTTAATATCACTTGACATGCGTCATCCAGCATCTTTCAAAGAGCCGCTGAGCCTGTGTGAAAGCCGTGGTCCTGTCAGAGATCCTCTGCACATGTGTGCACCTTGGCTCTGCGTGCACACACACACGCACAAGCTCGCACAAACGGAACACAACACAATACAAAACAGAGGAGAATATTTCAGAAACCGTGCGCTGTGGTCGTCGGGCTGTTGCAAGAGAGTGAGAATAACCAGGATGAAGATAAGTGAGGGTTGGGGGGTGGGGGTGGGGGGGGTGCAAGAGAAAGGTTGAGCATGTCTCAGCTGAATCGAGGTGGTCGATTCACTTGCCTGCAGGCTATTCCTGTAAATATTGACGTTGATGTTAGCACCACTCTCTTAAGGATAAGCTATAAAGCGAGAGGGTTAGATTTACTCGGTGCAAACTGTAAGCATCAGAAATCGCACGCTACAGTTGGCCTCCTGCGAGTGTATTGAGGGGAAACGATTTGAGACTTTCAGGGTGAAGAGCTGCAACCACACAGGGGAACTGAGCTGTCTCGGTAGGTTTCCAGCTCTCACTCCTCTCCCTCTTTACATGGTTAAGGTTTCCACTCTCAAGCTAAAAGCAGGCAGCTGACATCAAAACCTTCAGAGAGACCTCTATTTCCCAGAAACAGCTCTAGTTTCATGTAAATAGCTGCCTTTCATGGGGCTACACTGAGATAAATTGCACCCTGCTGGACAAGAGGGAGACAATATCCCCCCTCTTTTGTTGTCATCTGCATGTGTCGCCATGACAACACATATCTGCCCGGGGAGATCCTGCATGCATGTGTGGGTTTGCATTCGGAGGTCGCACTTGTCGGGGCGCACACCCTCCACGTATGTGGGCAAACACGGAGAAGAGGGGAAGCGGGCGGGTCCTCACACACACACACACACACACACACAAACACAAACACAAACACACCTCTATCCTCTCCGGTTCTTTTCAAACGCACGGCTACATCGGCCCAAAAAGCTAGGAAAGAATAACAGATGAGGGCCTTTTTTTTTACGGCCTAGTAAAAAGAGATAAAGTGATCCATCTGTGGCAACACCTTTTCCAAAAAACCTCCAGTGGTTCACATGTCCAGTCGACTGGGAATTCGACTGCTTGAGGGATGCAACGATGCTAGAATCAATTTTAAGTGGGTTAAGGAAAATAGAAAAAAGAAAAAGCAAACCCACAATGAGATTACTATTGCACAGAGACAGCATCCCTCCTTCCAACTTTGTAAGAAAAGGAAAAAAAAGTGTGCCATTGTCCGTGCGCTCAAAGCATCTCCGGATAGCTCGCTAAAATTTGTTCAAATTAGCATTTTCACAGATGACCGGAGAATAATCGCATCCTTATGCAATTATGCTGATTATATCTCATGAGTGACTCGTGAAGTGAAGGGCTATGTCACCTCTGAGACCACATGAAACAAAAGCCAACTGCTTTGTTTAAATTTTACTAAGTGCCTGCACTTTGAGATCCTCATTACATTCATTTGGGCTGCCAGATTGCTGTGGGAAAGAGAAAAGAGGGGGGTTCGATTGGGATTCGTGAAAGGAGGGGTGTAAGGCTACCTCGCTACCGGGAGGCTGAGGGCCTGCATATTAATCATAAGGATGGGGAAGAATATGTGTGCGTGTATGTGAGAGAAACACCTCCCATGGGCAAGGCAGCATTCACCCATGAAGTAGGTCAGTGAAATTTGCCCAAATTAGGTCAGTGGCAGTCAATGGGTGCCGTCCTGAACGAGAGAATGGACGGGAGGGGGGAACGGAGGGAGAGTCTGCGAGGTCGGGAAAGAATAACAAAGACACCTTTTTCTCAGCTTTTGAACTTTCGG